TAATATTAAAAATGTATAATATAATGAACGTGTGCACATTAAATTTCATGCAAACCAACACAAAATTTTATAAAAAGTACATTAAATTTCATGATATTTTTAACAGTGCACGATAGAATCAGCACAAGCTTGGAATGCACTGATCATATTGGGCGAAGTAAAGATTTCAATGCGAGGTATGCAGACATGTTAAGAGATTTCAATGCGATGTAAGCGAGTACTCTATCATGCGTACACTGTTAAATTCACACACACATATATCTATAGATTATTTTAATCATATCTATAGATCGCCACTACTCCTACTTAATGTGATTAATTTGACTAAAACAATGGTGTTAAATAATTTAACTCAAGAAAATGTATTATAAGAAAGTTGATTCGAATTTTATTGATTCAAATTTAGTTTATTATTTATTGGATGTATGTATTAATGTCAATGATGTTTACTTTAAAACTAACCATAAAAATTAATTGATTTACATTTTGATACAATTGGAAGTAAAAAATAACAAAATTTTTTTTACTTAAGATTAGGTCATCATTGTTTCTTTGATATTTAAGAGTGTAGTACTAAGATTATCTTATAATCGCAAATTTGCAACGTTAACTTAAACAAAAGTTTGTTACATCTAAACTTTCTACGCATTCTTTATATTAAACTTACATAAAGAACCAATTCAATAAAACTGTTTTTTTATCTGATATATTAACTCGTAAACATATTTCATTAAAAAAATGTTTTAAAAACAATTAATGTGCTTCTGATTGAACATAACCAGTCATTGACGCCAAAAATGGAATAATGAATTTCATCGGCACACCTCGGTGTCCTATAAAAACCAGCGTCGAATAAATCGCTTTCCATTCGCGGCATACGGCGCGTTACGTCGTGCGGCATCCAGACGTTTCGCTCGTCGAAGGCTCGTGGGGAGCAACAAAGAGCAAAAGACGGAGTCAATAATATCACGTAAAACACCCACACGAGGTGAGGTGAGGCGGTACGCGCGGGCTGGCTGGCTGGCTGGCTGGCTCCCCGAGCGGCGATTGAGGCACGGCCCGGCCGTAAGTCTCGCACGGGCATAAACCAATCCTGAAAGGAGAACGCGATGGAATGGGGTATCCATTTCACGAGCGATGGAGACATCGGGGGTACCTCGTTCGATCCCGCAGCCTCGTATGCTAATTTTCCGGCTGTACGCCGCGCCACACTGTCCGCTGCTCTCGGCTAGCGCGCGATGCGGCGCGGCATCTCGCGCGCACGCCGCTACGCGAAGAGCGGCACGGAAATAGGAGGAGGCCCTCAGGGATACGTCGAAGAGCTCGTCGAGATCTGCATTAAATCTCGCGCCGGTTTACTTAGAAGGAGAAACCGTTCGCATCGGGCGTGCGTCGGGATGAGAGATACATCGTAAATCGGTGTTGAGACTGTGGAATTTTTTATACTTAAACAACAAAAGCGAATGGTACAAAATATTTTTTAATCGTTAAAAAAAATCCTGGTATCCATTTCTTAAGTAGTCGATTTGATCACGTTGTAGGTTGAAGTTAAATAAATTTATGTATATATTAATTGATTTTTTCTTTTCTCTCACCATAAATCAAGATTTTTGATAAAATGTAATTATTCGATGTGTCACATCTGGATCTTATCGATACCATTCACGCGTATATCAATCGTTACGAACGCAGGTTCCTCGTGGAACTATTTGATACATGTCGACGCACCTTGCAGTGGCAATGGCCCTTATGTCGTTTCACCTGCAAACGACGTTAAGCGACCCGCATCTTTGTCTTATCTTACAGTTACACCTTCATGCAACAATCAACTCTGCTACCCTTCTACACTCTAGGCGGCTGTTAAATTTTTCATCTAACGACCGTTTGTTACCACTTTATTTCCATCATTGGACTTCCACTTTACCGCCAAAACCCGCCGAGAGCGTAACCTGGAGGAACGATCGGTTCCCTTCGGTGGAACTTTCGCAAAATTTTCGATGGAATATGACGTAGACACGTGCGTGCACGCACGGAGACCTCCCGCGGAGGACTTGACGACTGATAAAAATGTCCCTACTTGATTCCGCCTCTCTGCAAGGAGTCTACTTCGCCCCACGCCCGCCTTTATCTCGTCTTATTTGGTGCGGACGAATGACGAAGGACGCACGAGATTACTGCGCTGCTGCCCGTCGAGAGACGCATCCCGAGTGCGGTAGGTACCCCGCAAGAGTCAGTCCGCCGGATGATAAAATGACGGGGGATGAGACCGGACCGCATGTGATGTGCGGACACTATCCTCGTTATGCTCGCGAGCAGCATGCACCGCATCAGTGAATAATGAGTCCTGCGGAATTTCAGTACAGGAATCCGTGACTTTTCAACGTAACATGCGTCGACTCTCGGAAATAAGGACGTAAGGATCGTTCGCATAGGAAGAAATTGTCAATTGATTTACTTAGTTCCTAAGCGTTAAAAATATAATTATAATTGCGGTGACAAATTATATCAAAAGAATCGGAAGTATCGGAGGAAATTCGAAATAATATAAATTTTTAATCTACAAATAAAATTATGCGAGATTATTCTGCATGACCGAATCGTTAAAAAAACATGGATAACGTCTTTAATTTCGCAACCGTAACTGCGTCGTTTTCTTCGTCGGAGGAAGAGCAATTCTCTCAGAGGTATCTTTCTCTGGAGCTCCAATTGAAGCGCCGTAATCTGCGCAGAACTCGCGGACGTTCGCATGAATGTTCAGCCTCGACGTTACTCGACCCAGTCGTCGTCGTCATTCTCGAGGTAACGCTGAAGATAATTTATGTAATTCATTCGGTTAATATCGGCGCGCCGTGTCGTAAAGCGTTCGCATAACCAATTTGGCACTAAAGACCCCGGCACGAGGGCCCTTTAAGGTCCCTCTCGCGGTGGGCAGTGCCATAACATTACGGGTTACGAGTCGCCCCGTGCCCCTCGTCGTTCACATCCGTCGCAGTCATCTTCGCCATCGCCATCGGTTCTCCCTTTTCTCCTCAACGTTCTGTTGCCCCACTATCCGCGCTCCCCACGTTGCCTCCTTTTTCCAACCTTCACCTTTTTCTTCGCGTTCGTCCGGGCGTCAGGTGGAGAAGTTGTGCGTGGCCGATGGCGGATGATATTAGCATGGTAACTGGTGGCCCCAGCAGGCGCCTTATTAAATTTGTACCATAAGCAATATCGGGATGCGGCCCCGGGGCCGTTTCAATTTGCCGGTCTGGAAATTTAAGGCTTACCCTGTCTCACTCATTGCTACCGCGTCACCGTTATCGATGATGCAATGCGATTACTTTATCGTAATCACGAATTCATCATCAAGGTCGGGAAGACGTACCTAAATCTGTACCCATTCACACTCTGTCATTTTTTTGTAGTCATTCGAAATCGCACCAACACTTCACTATCCTTCGACGACACTTCACTACCTGAAGATCCTTGAAGACGAGTAGTTTAAGAATTCGCTAATTGCAAAGTGGAAGACAGTTAAGAGCGAGCAGGTGGATCTTTCTATGAGCGCAACGGGCCGCAACACATCTTATAGAAGCTCTACAACATCTCTCTTCAATATCCCGTAATGTACTATGTTCAAAGTCGCAACAAGTGTTTCGTTGCGATTAATTTTTTCTAATGTTAAACAAATTATCTATTAATGTGAATACGTGACAACTAGGAAGTGAAAGTCTTAAATGGTTATGCTGGATCTTTAGTGCTTAGATAATTAGATGTGAATTTTATATACATATCTAATGCTGCAAACTGCGCACCGAATTTAATTTTCAGTCTTAAAATGCAATTTTAACAAAATTAAAGTAATATCACAAATTAAATTGACAAACAATTTAAATAATAATGGTACTCGTAGGCATTTTAGAAGAACATTAATTTTTTATCAATTGCCTCACCGCACGTTTCTTTTCTTTTGTCTTACTGCAGAAAACGTGTAAATTGGTTTAAAAGATTGTGAAGTAAACTGTGATAATAACGTTAATAGTTTGCTGTTTGGACATGGTTGATCTGTACATCGGCTTGTTCATCGCATTCCATTTTTTTGAGTTAAATATTGTTGCATGAAAACAATAACGCAGGATTATGTTACTAAATCAGTTGCATTTAATTAAACGAGCAGCGCCCTAAGATTTATAAAATTTAAAGACGCTTCTGCGTGGCAAATCAGTCGTTTATTTTTATAATTGGATTTTACAATTAGAACAAGCACAACCTTAGAACAACTTGTAACTACGCCAAGTACTTTCAAAATTCACAGATATAATATATTTTTAAAGATAAAAGAGGAAGAAAGGAAATTTTTATACATGACATATATTCATGTAACTGCATGATCCTGTTATAATTTAAAATTATAACTTGAAATTTAAAACGATTATTCATACATTTTGCTTCATTCGTCCGCGCGCTGAATAAAAGTTAATATAATATTTTATCCGCGCTAATAAATAACGGTCGAATACTGTTTACAGCAACAATGCCGGAGTACCTACATCTGTGACGTACTGCGGCGAGAAAGAAAGGATACAAAATGAAATGACATAATAAGATGTCGGTGCCAACGGTACCATACCGCTAATGATTACAAATGACTGGACCGATATACTTGAGCCGACCAAAAGAACGAGTTTTGTGATCGATCGGCTGCAGCAATATCGCTCGATTCGATTTGGAACTTGCCGGTGTCCTCGAGAATTTCTTGGCCAAATTTTTTCGTATGATGATTTAGGAACTTCCGATAATTCAAAGAAAAAAATGTTCTTTTATAAATTAAAAGTAAAGCTTGGATAAATTGTTAAAAATAATTTGTTTTATATATATATATATATAAATTTTAATAAAGAGAGAAGTTAGGCATTTAACGACTTAGAGAATGATCGATCCTTTCTAAACACGCACGATGTTCGTTACAATTCAACATACAAGAAAAAATAATAACCAAAATAGTTAATTAATGTCAAAATGTATGATGAAGCGCATATGCTAATTATCAAGAAAAAACGAAGATTTTGCATTCCTAAAAATTTAAATATCTCTCATTGTTGGAATACTATTGGACCGACTGTCGCTCAAGAAATTGGGGCATCCGACTACACTCCGATTCCAAATTACTTTGATACAAATGCGTATAAAATTGGACATATTTTTGTATCAACGAGCACACAAGTAATGGATTATAATAATGATTTTTGACATCTTTATTTTAAGTTGTCCTTTCATTACTCATAAAATAGGTAAAATGTTTTCGCCCCGCGTCAGTACTGAAAATTCTCGGACCAATCCACAATTTTGTGGTGAAAAGCAAGACAAACACCAAATGGCTCGATAAGAAGCTTCATAGCGTGAGAACGTCTGGAGATCAAACGAATTTTCGAGTGAATATTAATAAAATTATAAATTTATTAAAAACACACACACACACAACATCAATCAAGTTGATTAATTGATCATTTCTCAAATATTTCTAAATGTACTTGTAGGTAATTTTCAAGAGTGGAAAAAATCAGCTAAGTTTTACAGGTCATGATTATTTTTTTCTCAGTAAAGCACACGATATGCTGACCGAAGGAAACGTAACGATAGATCGCACAGCTCATGAAGGTATATAAAATATACATACAGTATACATACACATATACATATATATATTACTTAATCAATATAATATTTAATAAAATATTTAAAAATAATATTTTAACAATTATTTAGTAATTCATTTATCCGTGATCTGTAGATTTGTTAAATGTTACATGGATTGGACTAATAACACACGTGGTTGTTACAAGAATCTCAGAATTTCGCATTATTAAAGATTTACGTGAAAGAACACTGCACATAGGCGAAAATGAGCATACTATTCTATTTAAATACGAAATATGCGAAATTGACCGGCATGGGGCCGTAATAAAATCTGTAAGTTTCTACATCAATACCTTACGTTGAAAACAAGAGATCTCAGCATCACAGATTTATTTTATCTCGTCAGGAAACGAAGAAAATACATTGCAAGTGGTTGCCAATAGGAGATAAAGAATCAGACAGTTTTCCATTAACCGAACTCCAAAGTTTACTCGATAAAACATGATAGTCCCTTTTATTTAGGAAACAAAAAATATATTGAACGAAGCTCTTTTTTGTAATTTTTTTGTCAATGTGATTATATGTGTCATATATTTATGTGTTTATATTAGATTATTTATATCCCTTATATTTTATCGCTTTTCTTCAAAAAGGATCGATCTACTCGCGACAATACATTCGTCACCTTAAAATACCAGAACCAGTTCATTCCAGGCACGGTATCATCCCGATCGTGACACTGATGACACCGATGAGAATGCGGTGAGATGCCGCACAATTTATTTCCATTTTCCGCGTGGTGTAAGCGCCCATGGACACAAGTGCACGCATGCAAGTACGCATGGTAGATCGGATCCGCGATATCGGCTCCGGGTCGGGTCTCTTGTGCGCATCGCGCATGAATTATTGCGAGATCGGTCGGAACGCGCGAAATTCAATAAAGTTATTTTACCAGCGCGATAAAAAAAAAAAAAGAGGAAGGACAAAAGAGGACAAGAGGGCGGTGCACAATCGTGGCTGGATTGAATTATCAGCGTTAAATTCCGCGTCTTATGCATGCGACCGGTCGCCTGCCCTGTCAACGCTGCCGGATGGAGACATTATAAATGTTAATTGCACGAATTGCACAGCTATCGCGCGCGACGTCGTTTTTTTTTTTCCTCTTTCCTTATACGCCTCTTTCCTTTTTTTCTCCTTTATATACCTTTCTCTCACTCCCCGCAGTTCTTCTCATCTCTTGCAGCGTCTCGTCCCCGACTTCGCATCTTCCTTCTACCCGCGCCCCCGCTATCCCATTTCCTCTCTCTCCATGACGCACCCTTGCCCCCTCGCGCAGAACGCATGAGACTGCATTTGCATCTCAATCTCGCCGTTGATTTAGCAGTCGTCCAGGGCCATCACTCTTGCCGCGGGAAAGGTCGACTTTAGTATTTTTAGATTAGCCGGTTGCGATATATGCAGCTCCTCGCGCAGTACTTTTTTCGGGGAGCGTATAGAGAGTGGGATGAGACCTTTCATCTTTCCTTTTTGGCGCAAGAGAGTCGCGCACGTACGAGCGCCTTTAAATTGTAGACAGGCCGGGGAGAAACCAGGAAAACGGTCGCGAAGGAGGTCGACTTTTGTCCTTGAAATGAGCGAATGGACGGGGGATGTGTCCACGAGTCAGTGACCCCCTTTTTTTTCAGCACTTATGCGGCACTCGCACTCTCGAAAACGAGTTGTCATCCGTGTCGTAACTCGTGGAAGTCGAATTTGCGTGCTGCTTACACTGTTGGTTGTCCCGTTAAAAATACAAGTCGCTTTATACGTTGTACAACAAGAAGGACAGGAGTTAACATGGCTTTCTTTTGCGTAAAAAAATTAGGAGCTTTTAAGATAACATTACAATTTCAATTCTTAATTAATTAACAACAATTAAATTGGATCTCAAGCAATAAACGTAAGAAAACACAATTATTATTGAACGACGTTTGATTCATAGTTCGACATAAGGATCACGACCAAACGTTCGATTTCTAACTTCCACATTTTATCGAGATTTATGATCTTTGCTACGCATAAGGGCGTAAAACCATCGAAATTCTCGCAGCGTCTCTTTATTATTTACGAAAGGGCAGCGGCACCGTGGGTCACACAATAAAACAGCGTTTATTACGGCACAGCTCCCGCATTGCGCCCATGCTGGAGCATCGGTCGGGTACTATATCATCTTACAAGTTAACTTTTATGACGGCCCACCTGCCGCCATCTTGGAATGCGTAAATAAGCGCTATCTTGATCTTAATGCACCCGCGATCTCTCGCTGCAACCAGATAGCATGGCTGCGACAATCGTGGCTGCACCAGGAAGCACAAAATACTGTCACTGTGCAAAACTGAGGCCAACCGGAAGCTGAATCGATGCTTAAGTCACCAAAAAGTTAGTCTTTAATTTTCTTTAATCTGTAAAAATATTTTCACTTAAATTTTTCATAACTTTTCTATATAGTTGATAAAAAAAATCGATTGAAAATTTTTATCTTCAATTTTAGAATATTTTAGAGCAAGTAGCTTATTTTAGAATAATTTTTGTAATATATTCAATGGAGTAACAACTACATACTTGATAAAAAATCAATTGAAAGAAAATACAAATTTTCAACTAATCCTTCTATTAAATATATATACTTTGTTACTCCATCAGAATTATTACAAAAATTATTCTAAAATTACTCAAATATACAAACGACTACAAGAGCAGTCATGAAAAAGTAAATGAACGCTTACATACTTAAATGCATGGAAGCGTATTTACCCTACAAGTAAAGGATGTCGATTTAGCTCGCATGTTGACAGCTACTTGCTCAACGTACATAGAGGCGGGTGCATCTAGAATGCAGGCTGTGCAGTTGCGCCATCGACACTCGGCACGACTTCCGGCAGGAGGAGCGGAAGTTGTCATCGTTAGAGGCGCGTGGCAGCCACGCGACCAGTCGCGCCTATATTCGTTTTACCTCGAACCGGAGAGCCTCGACAATTGACGTTAACAGGACGATCGTGCTGAAATGATAATTGCGCTACCAATCCCAATTCACGATCGTGTCCGACGGAAAGTAACCGGAGGCGTATAAAATGAAGTCATCTCTTGGCTTCATTAATGATGCCAAATGAATAAATTTATTCATTTATAAAAATTGTTCGGGAAAAGTGAGGCCATAAGCCTCAATGAGTGTGGAAAAGAAATCGTTTTTAAAGTATATTACAAGGCATAATTCGCAAGAGTATATTAACTGATGGAGCATAAAAAAATATTTACACGCATAACAATAATATTGTCAATTAATCTGATTTAATATCGCGTTTGTTAACGCCCTGACAGTGCACTCCAAAGATACGTGTGTAATAATAGAGCAACGCGCGGGATAGTAACAATAATTTAATACCGTCTTTATCATGAAGATTGATAAGCGCGCGAATCTCAGCAGCACGTAGGATAATCGAGCTATAATAATAATGTAGCCAGGAGAATGGCTGCACATACTGCGGAATAATAATAGCCGCGTACAGCGCGGATAATAAGGAAGCGGATAAATTATTTTCGAATTACACGGTTAGCGCTAATGCGCTGATCGTGCCGGTAGCTTCCTTCTCGCGATGCTGCGTACTGGTGCTGTCACGTACACCGACAGCGTTTATCATAAATTCTAGCGAAATCTGACAGATGTAGAAATGCGGATGTGCAGCCAAGGTGTTACCTGTTAGAGCGTTATACGGATGCGCGCACGCATAAACAATGCGTATCTGCTCGGGAGAGTCAATAATTACGAATGTCAACCGTTATCTTAGAAATCGTGCGGGTAGGTGCCTTGCAGCGCAACGACGTGCGACCTACGTGCACCTGCGCCGTTGTGCGCGTGCCGATGCACTCGCTCTCGCAGTCACCGCACGCAGCCCGTGCAAACACGCGCGCGCGCACACGGAAACGCGTGTCCGCGGTTTCCACGGCGGAGCCACAAAACGTACGTTGCCCCGAAACAATAGTTGCCATGGTGAAAGGTGTACCGGCAACACACACCCGCGCGACACCTGATTTCAACGGGCCCCGGTCGGGCACCGCCACGAAAAAGGGAACAAAGGGAGCGCGAGACCTCTTGACCTCGCCCGCGAGAAAAGGGAGCTGTTGCTCCACTTTTCAGAGCGTTTCACGACGACTCTTTGTCGAGCTTCGCTCGTGAGGCAACCATTTCGCGTCGCCGCATGGGGATTTAAGATGAAAGCGACGTCACGGCGACTCAATCTCCGCCGAGACGACGAATTGTGCTGGATTCTTTAGCGTTTTGATGTCACGCGATATCTTTACAACGCAACAGTACTTTGCTTCCATTCACTTTGAAAAGAAATGAACTAAATTCTCGGTTATCTTCATTTTGTTTGTCAAAAGTAGAAATTCGTAATTTTTACATAATCGTCATTAGTTTACAAAATCACTTAAGTAATTATATTAATTCAGATAATTTTTCCAAAATGTTAAAATATCAATAATAATATCACGTATACACTGATAGTAATGTTAATAATTATGCAGTACTTTGCTTCCATTTATTTTGAAAAAGTACAAGAAACAGATTCTTAGCTCTTTCCTTATTTTTTGTTGAAAGTAAAAATTTCTTAATTTCTAAGTAATCATTAGTTTAAAAACGATTAAGTAATATTTCGATTAAGTAACATTAAAACTGCAATAATATCACATGTATGTAGTGATAAATGCAATGATTAATTTATGAATACGTAATGCAATTTAACTCACTCTACAAAAAGGGGAATCTAAAAAATAACATCCATCTTCAGATCGCGCCGACTGTATGATAATAACAAGCGGATGTGATAATGCGCACTGCACACGAATTAATTTTGTTGTTTGACTTCGAGCGATGACTTTTGTATGCTTATCCCACGAGGGCTTCTCTGTTTGAGGACCTTCTTGCTACCTGCCAACAACGGCAGTTCAACGTGTCTCATTACGTTTTCTTTTTTATAACGGCGATACGGGTAGTGTATTACCTACACATTTACCTTCCGCCGTTGAATAAAAGACCGATATTAAGCGCACTTCCGCTCGGAGCAAGTAGCAAAAAATAAAATGTAAAAAAAGACGAGAGAAAAAAACCGAGATCAATTCTTGATGCGCAAATCCGCGCCGTTCCGTTATGCTCAGCGTCTTCAGAACACCTCCGTAAACCCCACCCCGACTGATGTCGGCCGTCGATACATTCGAAATATCGGCACAGTGACGCGCGCAACCGCCATAATCCTTCTACATTTAACATCCGAACGCGTGGGTATCAACATGCAACCCGGTGACGATTTACATTTGCGATTTTCACCCTCCGGCAAAAATGCCGATCGACAATGCCGTCGAGATATCGCCAGGATCTGGCTGTATGAAAAATGTCTTGCGCTTATGCAGCCTCCTACAGTCCACCGACAACTATTTATAACCATCCGTATTTTCTGCAATGTTCACGCA